CATAAACATGACACTACCCCCGGGGTTTACACAGACGAGCCGGCGAAGCAAGAAGAGCGCCAGAAGAAAGGGCCCTAGCCGGCGGGGCCCAGCCAGGACAAAAGGAGGTCCCACAAAGCGCCTACACCGGCCGCATTTGCGGTCGGGGTAGACGACGGATGGGGCCCACCTACGAAGGCTGTCCAGGCCTACACGAGATGAGGCAGGATAAAGAGGGATAATCCCCCTCGATCCCAAATCATTGAGGCCAATTTCTAGCCATAGAATAATGGCGCGCGGTTCATCTTACGCCTCCTAAAAATGATGACACAATTTTCCTTTGATAAAAGACCGACAATTTTTTGCTCTACTTTGCATCGTATACGATCGTACTATATGTTCATGTCATATTGTAAATTTGGTTGCGTAACATTTTGCGTTGAGAAAAAAGTAAATCTGGAGGATCTAGAAAACTAAATCAGAGACAACCTGTCTCTGACTGAAGGCCGAATGCAGTTTTGGATTGGTCAGGGCCGTTATTGTCTACCGGAATTATTTCAGATTTTTCCGAGCTCTAAAACTTTTTGAGAAAATCCATGAAAACTGTTAGAAAATTAATGTTCTTCTAAAGACGCCATATGTATCTACGGTTCCTAAACACGCTGTGATAGCTGATGGTCGGTTTTTGTGCAAGTACTTACGTCGAGAAAAAAAATCGATAATCGAAGGAGCTAAAGTAACTAAATGCAATTTTGGATTGGTTAGGTCCATTATAGTTAATCACAATTTTTTCAAGCACTAAAACAGAATATCGATGGACAAAAATTTTCAAATTAGTGCCCTTCTAGAGGTGGTTCCGTATGTATCAGATTGAAAAAATCGACGCTCTATAAGAAATTGGAGGGTCTGCCAGTACTATAACCCTCCTTTCGGAATTTGATATTTTAAACCTAAATTGCATAGTTCTTCATTTAAGACAAAAATATGTACCAAATTCCTAGCATATCTCTACTTATAAAAATAATTTTTACATCCATTCCCTATTTTTAAGACAGGGCTGCGAAATGAAAAGTGCCTAAGTCCCATTATTTCAATCCAAAGAACATGTGATTCAAGGCTCGACGTACTAATTTGTAACACCATGTAGACTAAATTTTAAAGATTACTTTGTTTCATATCAATCTTATATACAGTACTCATATTATTCAGGTTAAGGTTCAAGAAATAAAAAACATGCAGTAGGATTTTCTTTCTTTTATTTTGTTGTTGCTGCTGCGTTGTTGCTGTTGCTAAAACATGCGAAACTAAATAGCTTCCGTACGAGCGGTGCCTCCTGGACCCGAACGCTGAGTCTTAGCCAGGAAATCGGCGAATTCCTGGTAAGGCGTCTTAGCAAGTGGCATATCATTCCACAGATCGGGCGTCAGGTAAGCGTAAGTCTTGGCGATGGCCGCATATGTAGCTTTCGCAAAGTTACCCAAGGTTCCCGTGGAGCCCCTAGCCGAAGTATAGCAGTCCTCTATACCCGCCATTTGGAGCAACTTCTTGGGGACCGGAGCCGATACGATTCCAGTACCACGGGGCGCTGGTATAAGACGGACGGTGACGGAGCCACATTTGCCAGTGACCTATTAAACAAATATATTCGTTAAAGCAAAAGGTAAAGTTACTGGACATTGTCAGTAATTTAAATACTGGATCAGATATTCTTGGCCATCATAGAGACGGATCTCTCTGGTGGAAACCGCGAAAGAATTGAGTTAGTCATCATTAAAATATGTTGCGTTAGAGGACAATTAAAAAGGTGTAAACAGAACTCAATTTTTCAAGTTCTTGGGACATTTTGAAAAAGAAAATAAATTTTTTCATTAAAATCATTAAAATTAAAACTTGAAGTGAAGCAATTTAAGCATTTTTCATATTTTATGCTACCAATCAGGAATTTTTAAAAACATTTATTTCTCTAATTTTGAAAAACTGAGCAGGATAAAATATTCTAATGATAAAGAAAGATCAATATTTGCATAATTTTTGTGTTCAAATAATCGTGATTTTGTTTTTATGGCAATTTATTGCAACGTATATTCAATTTTTAGATACTAAATTATTTCCAAAAAAATTCCTGGTACAGTAAACACAATAAAAACCATTTCGAAATTAAGCAATTTAAAACAAATTTGTATTCAAGAAAATTAATATATAGGGAAGACCACATTAAAAGGTTCAAATTCTTAGTACAACTATTCAAGAATATGCAGCCAAAATATAAAAACCAAATTCCTATTCGCTCCGATTTTATGAGCCTTTAGGCTTTTTTTTTTAAACAAGCTCCCATCCGGTCAGCGCTAGGGCGCACAGCAAGTAGGGCAGAGCGTTTGTTCAGGTAATCACTTATTAAGCAAGAAAAGAATAGACGCTAGGTCAAAATAATGCCTATGAGGAAGCAAGCATTCTATATTATTGAAACCTATTCAGTTTTCGGAAATTTTCAAATGCATTTTTCTCAAAACGTCATTTTTTTTATTCACAGGAACTCTAGCTTAAAAAGTTATGAAAATTGAAAGTGTTTCTTTATGAAATTACAAAGAACACGGGATGATATCATAACTTTTAGGACCTATTTTATACAAAATAAGTGAAAAAATGACGAAAATCGATAATTTATTTCAAACACGTGTCAAAACTTAAATTTTCACAATTTTTATCCGCAATGAAGTTCATATTCTTAGAAAATATGTTACTAATGCAGGAAAACAATAATTTTGCTTTCAGATGAAAATTGTGACCACATTTCCCTCGAACAATCAACTTGGATGACGACCCATAACTTTTGTCACTTTCAACACAATGTCTTGGAAAAAATTTGTAAATGTAGTTCAAAATATTATTAAAATAATGCCAAATTCTAATCAATTTCTCCCACTCAAAAACGCCTAAAAATTAGTGTTGGGAGATCTCCAATGAAAAATAGAGTGGTTCTCGATTTTTAAAAAGTTCTCGTTCTCGAATACTCGCTGAAAGCATTCGAATACTTTTAGTTCTCGTGTCAACTGGAAATATTGCAATCAATGGTTCTCGATATTTGCAAGGCTATTCAAGGAAGAACAGCAACTTTAAATAATTCTACAGAAAACTTTACTATAAAACTAACTTTCCCTCATAAATCAACGTCTACCTCTAGTCTTCCGTTCCTTTCATCACTCGGTTCTCGGATGATAATCATTCAATTCTTAAAAATATTTGAGAACCGTTTTCAATTCTTAAAAATACACGATTCTGCCCATCACTACTGAAAATCAGCCTCCTAATGTGGTTTCCCCCCTTAGTGTACATAAATAGAAAATGAAATGTCACAAGGACCAAACTAACATTTCCAAGGAAAGAATAAAGTGAAAATTGCCTTGAAGAAGCATTTTATAGTATGGGATCTGACCGGGTTGCCTATCAAAATATGGCCACAAGTATTTTTAATTAAAAAATTAAATTAATTTTTTTCCAAACAATTTTCATTTGTTTTTTAAATAAATTATAATTCATTTCACAAAGAACTAAAAAATGTTTGTAAATGTTAACATTTTTCAAAAAAAAAGTTAGGCCCACCCTTGATTTGAACCAAGGACCTTCGGCTTCGCAGTAGCGAGCTTTCAAATCGAGCTACGGTGGCCTACCGGTGGGTGGAGCCTTTACGGGCTATTTGAAACTTTGAATATACACAGATGAAAATAAAAAATCTTAAATGTTCAATTAGATCTATCGCTATAATATCGTCTAAAAGATCAGAACCGCCACGTAACAGCAAAATAACGACTCGCTGTGATCAGATCGGTCGGGAAAAAGCATCAAGATAAAATTTATTTTGACGTGTTCACTGACGTTTGGAAAAAATTTATTTATTTAATTTTAATTAAAAATACATTATGTATAAAAAAAATTGTATTTCGACTTAAAAAACAGATGAACTACAATAACAATAATCTCAACAATAATCAATAATAATAACAACAATAATGACAATAATCTCGCAGTCGGATCTCGGACTATTAGCTTTACTTCTACAAAAACGAAAAAAAAAGTTTTCAACATTTTAACAATTTTGTCCTATTTATTCTCCTTTGCATCTTTTAAATTTATCCCATTTCTTTATACGAAAAAATTCTTTAATATTACTATTTGCTAAGTTATACAATATTTGATTACCTTGCAAGGCACAGTGTGAGGCTGACCAATCTTGTTACCCCAATAACCTCTACGGACCGGTACAACAGACAGCTTGGCCAGGATGATGGCCCCGCGGATTGCAGTGGCCACTTCCTTGCTACACTTTACACCCAAACCGATGTGTCCTTTGCTATCACCAATGGCAACGAAGGCCTTGAAACGGGTTCGCTGACCGGCACGAGTCTGTTTCTGTACCGGCATTATTTTCAGAACCTTAAACAGAAGAATACAATTTTACACACAACATAAAAAACGAAGGTACTTTTTTTTGTATTTATGAAATATCAGTCATCTTTGGCCAACATTAGAACTATGTTCTTCTGGTGGAAACCGCGAAAGAATAAATTATTCATCATTAGATGTTAAATGTAAAAATTATTTTTTTTTAACAATTCTTCACAGATATTTCAGCGAAATTTGAACGTGGTAGCTTACTACCAACTAAAACGGAAATCTCTAAAGATACCAAAATTTTATTTATTTATATTTCAAAATGGACAATTTAAAAAATCTTAAGACAGAACACTGTACATTTACTTGTTACTTGATTAATAGAAAACACTGGAATCTAACTCCACACAAATGCAATGATAATTGATGAAAAAAATTGACTACAATATTCTTACCTCGTCATTTAAGTCGGAACCGATGAAGAAATCAATGATCTCGTACTCCTTGATGGGTAGAGAGAACAAATAGATCTCCTCAAGGGAACGGATCTTACCCTCTCGAACGAGACGTCCTAGTTTTGTAACGGGGATCCATTCCTTCTGATCTTCCTTGCCACGCCCACGGCCCCTGCCGCGACCACGGCCGCGTCCACGGGGACCCCCTCGGCCTCCGCGACCACCACCAAAGCCACCTCGGAAACCACCACGTCCACCGGCTGGAGCTGCGTCCGCCATTCTGAAGATAAAATTCAAATAACTGGTAAAAACGGCCTACCTTTATAAAAATATAAAAAACTGCAATATTAACCATCAATAAATCAGACATTCTTGGCCATCATAGAGATGAATCTCTCCGGTGGAAACCGCGAAAGAATTAAATTAGTCATCATTTAATGTACTTTTCAATCAATGAAATAATTGTAATGTGTCTACTGCATCTATATATTAACACTACCAAATTAAAATGAAACAACATGGCTTCTAGCTTGAGCACGTGTTTAAAAAATGTTTTCCACAACCATTCTCCAATTTTTCAAAACATAAATTAAAGCAAACATTAAACTAACTATTGAGTGTAACAATAAATGATAATTTACTGCTTTAATAACTTAATACTTTACTAAAATTTTAAACTAAAATAGTTACTTACGTTTAGATCCTTCTCTTAACGTTGTTAACGAAAGAAAGAAATACTTGACGCGTTATTCCGTCCCACTAAAGAGAAGTGGGGATAAAGCGGAAGTGACGAAAACATTTGAGCTTTTTAAATACATTTATAACAAGTAATTTGACCTGTAATTTATTTTAAGGGCTACCGTTTATTCGGATAATGCATAAGACAATTTTTATTTATCTCAAAATATGAGAAAACAGATAATTTTTGTACTTAACTAGGTACTTGTGACGGAAATGCGTGCATGCAAAATACCTACTTGTTAAAAGCCATAACATACCACTTTGATACAATGGGTATCATTTTATGCCGAGATTAAAATATTTTTTATCGTTAATGTTAATGAATGATTTCTAGTATAATTGTACAAGATTTTAGTACAGTTCTTTAAATTCTAGTACATCACTGTCTAGTATATTTTAGAAATTTATTATACAAAAGTCAGCTTATTTATTCTGCCTTATTTTTAATATTATGCATAATATTGGTGGTTCTATTTTTTTTCCAAGTTAATTCTATCTCAAATTTTCATGACATTTTTATTCTATATATCACTATTGAACTTAAAAGCTATACGACTTTTACTATCCAATTGTAACAATTTAAGCAACGAATTGCCTCCTTGAGGAACCTTTTCTTAAATTTGATGACGTCGATCCCACTGCCCTCTGGCCGCGGACGGCCTAGCTTCCCCTAAAACTGTAGTGGGGTAATGTCTAATGTCAATGCGCCACGCCGCCATTATTCCATGGCTAGAAATTGGCCTCGATGATTTGGGATCGAGGGGGATTATCCCTCTTTATCCTGCCTCATCTCGTGTAGGCCTGGACAGCCTTCGTAGGTGGGCCCCATCCGTCGTCTACCCCGACCGCAAATGCGGCCGGTGTAGGCGCTTTGTGGGACCTCCTTTTGTCCTGGCTGGGCCCCGCCGGCTAGGGCCCTTTCTTCTAATGTCAATGTCCACCCTCTGGTGGACATTGACATGCCAGGGCCAGGGAGACCCATGGTCATGGTCTGTCCAGAGTGTGTAGTCTCCATGGTCATGTCAATATAAGGTTTGTTCTGCAGCAGTCAGAGCAGTCTCCAACTGTTTTCAAACTATCAGATATATTCAACCAATTGGTCGAAAGTTGTCCCGTACTTTCAGCGAGTATAAAGTTACGAATCAATTGGCCAAATATCTAATATCCTCAACGACCTCAACTGTTGCAGAAACAGACCTATCATAAATTGAACGGATCTTCTTATTCTTCTTTATATCCAATGATATCACAAAATAATGAACATGCAGAAGGCCAAAAAAAGAAGAAGAAGAAGGAAGAAGAAATTTTGGTAGCAAGAAGTTCTTAAATCTTTGCTGTGTCAAATTGTAATCCATTTGTAATTTTTTTCAGAAAAACCTATAACCCCATCTTTTTTAACCTGGGTGCTTCTCTCCAATCCGAGGCAACGTTTCGGTGTGTGTTAAGGCTCGGCTGTTGCCCCCGAGCGAGAAAAGTCTATCCTGTGTTGTGTTGTTTACTAACCCCATTTGCACTCCCGCTCAAGATATAGGAATTAATCGAGGGAATATGAGTAACCAATCTCAGATGCACTTCACGGTGCATTCCCTTGAATAATAAAAAATAATTACATAAGAAGCTGGCTAAATACCCTCTGGGTGAAGGCCCTAGATAAATGATACTATAGATAGGAAACTTGAACAAATTTCGTGGTCATTAACAGCGCTAACTGTTGACACTTTCTCCAACTTCTATTGCTTTCCTTTTCTAGGAATTATCGGTAATACAGTGAGTTAAATTACCTTTAGCCAGTAAAAGATGCAAGCGCCATCTAGTTGTACGCTCTACAACTATATACCTACTTACTCAATATTTGTTTTAGGTATTCTGCCGCCGCTAAATTTAAAATTACATAACAAATCTCACCCTACACAGATCACTCAGAAATTGATTTTGTAAAATAATTTTCACGTAGATAATTTTTTTTGTCACCATGAGAAAATATGTACATTTGATAAAAAGCATTAAAATCACTCAAGCATTAAAGACACTTTTAAATGCTCTAATAGTCTTCCTACTTAAAATAAGAAATAATTTTGATACTGTAACTTTTAAAAACGTTTGTTGAAAAAAATTTCAAATTTCAGTACATATTTTGAAAAAAAAAGAGTGAAAATGATTATAGAGTTTCAGTGCTTTCTATATTGTATTAGCTTTCACGGTGAATAAAAAAATATTACAAGTAAATAATTTTACTAAACCAATCTTTGATTAATTCTTGTAATAGAGATTTATTATGCAACTTTAAATTTTTCGTTGTGTTGATATCCATAAGAAAACTACCTACCTCTGATCACATTTTTTATTAAAAAAAAACAAAAAAACATTTTATTATTAATAAAAAAAAATGTGATTATATTATATAAATAAATGTGAATGAAATATCTAATAAAACACACTAAAAACACAAATAAAACACACACCAACAATCGCCAAACCTAACCAACAATAAACAATAAACATGAACAAGAATGACATGAAATGATTCATAATTGCAATTGTCAAAATTTATTCTACAAAATCTCTGTGGCGACATCTATAGACTCTTTCCCCAACTTGTATATCCATCTCAAGTCACGTGGTTCCCAGAGTTTCCCCATTTTTTCAAGTATAAGTTCTCGGGCCCTGGTGAAGGCCAAAAAAAGAAGGAGAAGAAGACAGGTTACGTTTAATTTGGGCTTTAGGTCAGCTTGGCCGAATGTTGTAAATGTTGTTATATTGACATTGGAAAAGGTTAATTATTTTTTTTAAATAATTATGTAATCAATATTCGATCTGTTTATAGATTTATTACTTTGTAGCCTAAAAAGAGCGTTCACTGGACATGTCGAATTCGAGCAGCGAAAGCGAAGATGAAAACTACTGTGAAGAAAGCTGCGACAACAAACAAGGGATACGTAAAGCCTACCAATTATACACAGAAGAACAAAAAATAGTCTCCGCGGTATGGATGCACGAGAGGCCATTTAACTATCAAACGGTTGATGACGTTCTGAACAACTTTTATATCAGATTTAAAAAGGTACCACCAGAACACCGTACTCTTGTCAAATGGGAGAAAAAACTATTTTCTTCAGGGGCTTTCGCAAACAAAAACAAGCTACCTTTAAAAAGACTGATTCATGTACCATATGTAAAGGCTTCGCTAAAAGAAAAACCCGGAATAACAATGAATGAAAGAGCGTGTCAACTAGGGCTGCCATTGAAAATTTTGAGACAGATTCTTAGATATGACATCAAAGATAATGATTTATATCGGCAAAATTCCCAGGACACGATTGATAATGGTGAAGTGCAGATTAAAGATGACATCCACTCGAATTAAAAACCAGAACATATGATTAAGATTAAGAATTTGTGAATAACATGATTCTTTATTTTGCAAAAATATTAAATTATTTTGCATTGCATATTTGAACATAACTTTTTACGATGGAGAAAATTGAGTGAGTGAGTTAAGAAATGAATTTACAGTATAATCTCTATAATCCGGCACTTCATTACACATTCTCATCCAGTAATTCGGTGTTATTTTTTCCATGTCTGTCTATTATCCTTGAAGAATACGGTTTATACAGTTATAGTTTAGTTGAAAGATTATTTTACAGAAACAAAAACATTACAATGTACATATACAGGGTGTTTCAGGAGGAAATGTACATACTTCAGTATGTTATTCTACATTCAATTTTAAGTAAAAAATTACCTACGAACTTAGGTCTGGAAATGCTTTGTTTAGAATATACAGGATGTCAAATTTAAAAAAATTTATTACATTTTCTTTAATAACTCGACTACTTTGAGTTAAATTCATGAGGTGGAGGTTTCTTGGGAGGGGAAATTCAAATTTTATGGACGATTGGCTGTATCTCCCACAGGGCACCACCATCAACTTCAACTTCAATTTTTTTGTGCCATGGTGTATGTCATTTCGGAATAGAAAAATATTTTCCCCTATCTTTTCTACTTAAGAAATGTACACCTTATTGAAGTCTCTAGGAGCAGCCGTTTCTCTTAAAAACTCGTCTAAAGATTATGATGCATGCAAATTATGTATTAGAGTGCTAATTATGTATCAACTTATCATCATCAGCATCATTGGAACTAGTTGACGATTAACGTTGATCTATTCACAAAATTTTTGTGAGAATTGCAAAAATAAAATCTAAACAAAATGTACGAAACCTGACAACAATAACTTTCGATTCACTCTACTCTAATACTTTAAGGAACATCTTTATTTCTTTCTACAATGAATTAAATGTAAACAAAACTTCATTTTATTTTACAAATCAAACCCCTCACTTAGCAGTTATTATATAATTTAGCATCGAAAAAAGTTTCAACTAATGCCTTCATTCTTCATATACTATAAGGTATCAATATATCTCTGATGATGTAGACATATCCTTCAGAACAATATCTGTGATAGCAAAACAGTAATCAACTCATGTTCCAGTATTTTTATATAACTACCTACAGCGAGTGTAACCAGGAGCATACACGAAGCTAATAGTAGAATTATCTCTAAAATTAATTCTTTATATATGAAATCAACTCTCTCACTTTAAATGGATTCTCTGTATGTTTTTATTTTTGCATTTTTAGAAAGAATATAACAGTTTTAAGCGAAGCATTATCAGCAGAGCTAAATGATTAAACATCAATGTAATTTCAAAATTAGAATCATTAATGTTAAAAATATCAAAAATATATTATTGGGAATAGAATATTCAATATTAATTTTTCGTAACATATAGTACATAGTATACAGTTTTCAAACTTCATAATGGCTGAAAATTTTTTGAAAAATAATAAAATGCCCGTCTATCGGTTCAAAATAAATATATTTTGAAAATATATCTATAACCAAAGGGTTAAAGTTGGCCACCTATATTTTGATTTCTAATTTCCCAAATTTCATTTGAAATGTTTTCATCGAACAATATTGTTTCCTTGCTTCATTATCAAAATATGACCATTTTAATTTTTGCAAGCCCTCCCAGTGATTATTACTGCTCTTGGATAACTTTAAGTTTTTAAAATAATAAATCCTTGAAAATGTGAAAAAATATATAATCTAAACCATTACACCTGTTAAATACTTATTAAAAAATATATTTTAATCTAGCTTTGAAACAGTTTGTTTGATATATACAGGGTGTCCCAGAGCTATCTTGACAGGCATTATCTCGGAAACTAGTCGAGATAGGAAGAAATGTTATGTAGAAAAGGTTTTCTGCTTAAAAAGAAGCTTTTAATCATTTTATTTTCAAATACACAGGGTGCCCCAAAAGATGGTATATTGCGGAACTTCAATTTTTTAAATGGAACATCCTGTATATTTTTAAGTTTTTGAGTTCTTTTATTTCTGAACATATTTAATTAACTATGTTCTATTCTTATCATTAACCGTTTATGTTATATGAACAGTTTAATCTTGATTCAGACATTTTCCATACTCTTAAATAAATAATGTAGGTGTTGACTACACGTCAAAAATTCTTCAATGTAGCTTTGTGAGTTTCATTGACAGTAATTAAATTTCAAACTCTCCATTTAATTTTCAAATAAGTATTAGATATGGACAATTGGAGTACATTTTATAATAGCTATAATGTTTTTTATTTTGTATTATTCCTGAGAGTACTTATTAAAAAAATGTTACTCCAAAAATGTTTTCTGCATTACCTCAAGCATGGTTAATGATGGGTATAGAACATGATTAATCAAATGTGTTCAGACATAAAAGGAAAACCCAAAAACTTAAAAATATAGTGTTCCATTTAAAAAATTGAAATTCCGCAATATACCATCTTTTTGGGGCACCCTGTATATTTGAAAATAAAATGATTAAACACATCTTTTTAAGTATAAAACCTTTTCTGTATAACATTTCTTCCTATCTCGACTAGTTTGCGAGATAATGCCTGTCAAGATATCTCTGGGACACCCTGTATATGTTGTGTGTTGACTACATAATATATTGTTTTTTCAAAAATGTCCATTTAAAATAAAAGATTTGACATATCAATAAAACATCGCAATATAGTAGCAAGAATTAGTTTCATTTATGACCATATTTCAGAGTTAAGTCTACTGCCAATTTTTGTTTTCAGGTAATGCATTCAAGTAACTATTTACATAAAAATTTAACGTTTATAATTAATGTGTAAACAAAATAGGTACATTTGTTTCGTTTTTTGTTTTAGTAGATTTCACCTCACATTCTGTAATGCTATAATGCTTCAAAGCTTTAGCCAAAAAGCAGTAGTAATAATACGATCTCATCGCAGCACAAAAAAAAATCAAGTGTACTTTAGCGGAATTTTGTAGTACTGCTAGGCTAGGATAGGATGTCTAGGCTGTTCAAAAAGCAGTTTACTTTTAACAAAATTTATTTGTCACATATTTACCATTTTGCTCTTTTCCCCCAATCTTTTGGTGTCCAGTGCAAGCATTTGGGGTCTATCCTGATCTTCCGACTTTCCATCGCTTTGTGGTGACTCTGAATGATCTCCTTACTTAGTGTTATTATGTACTGTCCCTTGTAGTAATTTATTAAATTCAAATTTTGTAAAGTGGATATCACATCTTCCTTTTTTATACTAGTAAGCTCACAAATTTCACTACAAGACAGTTTTATGGATTATGTGATAATGGATTAAGCGTCACTTACTTAATAGTAATCTGGGGCTTTTCGTTTTCACCTACAGGTTTCATAGAAAGTAATATTTCTAATATAGTTTGCGCCCAATAGCTTCTATAAGATAGTAATCCTAAATCAGATAATGGCTTTTCAGGGGAACCAGTCTTTCCTTCAAATTTCGATAATTCATAACCTACAATTATTGTTCAATTTTAATTACAAGAAGGTCTCATATAAGCATATTTGAAAGTGAAAGCACTCACTAAATTCGATTAGTAACTTTCCATAACCTTTCCTTTGATAAGGGGGCATTGTTAAAATACATGCCACATTATAATCTTCAGTGGACTCCTTTTCTTTCGAGAAATACCCTACTATATGAAATCCTCTATTATTAAATACTGTCATTACGTAAAAAAGAAACGGATCTGTATCATAATACAAAGTTTTATGATCCAAGAATAATTTAGCCAAAAGGCAAAGGTTTTGAGCATAAACTTTATTTTTCCTCCCATCTATTTCAAAGAAGGAAATATTGTCTTTTCTATAAATTTCGTTGCCAGGCGGATGTCTCAAATTACATTTCACTAGATGTCGTTCTAAACATTTTCGACTTTTTCTATATTTTAAACAAAATTCACATATGTAAATACAGTCTAAATTCACCATTTCCTACAATTAAAATATACATTAAATTAATCTTTGTTTATAATCCTTCTAATAATACCTGTGGATAAGGTGCAAAATACCACGGCTTTATCCTGTGTTTGCCAAGTTCTATTAATTCTATATTCTTCATGCGAGTAATAATATCATCATGATGTGAAACCATACTACCGGACTGTCTCGGACCTGCAGCTATAGCTGCAGGTCCATCCAACGAGTCTTCATTTTCTAATGAAGGTCCTTTTCGTTTCCTGTTAATACGTTTTTGTAAAGCAGCTGCTAATACTGCATTGCCATTCAATAATTCAGCATTATTTACAGGGCTTGGAGGTCTTGATATTACACCTCCGCCGCCTCCACCTCCTCCACTCCCTCCTCCACCACCCCCTCCACCGCCACCTCCTCCTCCTCCTCCACCTGTTCCTCCAGCACCACCTCCACCACCCCCACTACCAATTTGGATTTTCTTAGGGGTTGAAACACCTGTGTTACTTCCACCATCTTTTCTCGGAAAATGTACTTTTCGTGTATCTAGCGACTCCTCTGTTACCCATTCATCTAATCGTTTATTAACTAAAAATGAATTAATGTCAAACGTTTTTTCAAAAATTAAGTGAAACCTACATACAATCAACATAATGCACATAGTAACATTTAGATCCCTGTACATCCTTTATACTGATAATCTCCGCCAAAGCTAAAATATTAGTTTAATTAGGAATCAGTATATGAATCATTATAAAAACTTACGCCAATCATTAGTCCCTGTCATATGAACTGGTAGTCTACATCCTTCTACTAATGAGGACTAAAATTACAAATTTAGTATTAAAAATATTCAAACACAAAAATAAAGTAAGGTTATATTAATGAAAAATAATAAAAAAGTAAATATATGTCTATAATGGTAATTACCACAGAATCGCATATTGTGCTGTCATCAATATCTTCCATTTCGACTTTCATGAGTTACAGTATTTTTAACACAATTTGAAAATAAAGTATTGGTTCCAAATGCCTTAAATCTGTCAAACAAAAATAAATTTAAAAGCCATGTTCAAAATCCATATTTTATGGATAATGCGGGATTGTGTAAGTTAGTCACGAGTGTCACGACGTCACAATATTTATTTTAAAACAATATACATATAACCATTGTATTTACTTATACAATGAAATAACTAATAGACAATTTACTTCTTTGAATATAACACAGTGCCGCATCGAATTTTCCCTCTGATTGTTTTGTAAGTCGTGGTGTAAGCATGGTTTCAAGAGTCAGTGGTCCCATGGTTACGTACAAAATCCATAATGACCTGATGGAAACAAATCAACAACCAAACATAAGAACGCATGGCAAGAGCCCCAATAGATATACAAAGTTTAAAGAAAAAGAAGATATGTCAAATTAAGTTGTATTATGCCATGCCATAATGTCATGTCTCAAGTCTCATTTGACTTTGCTTATTTATTTAATTTGTGGGAGTTCAAAGTTCAGGAACTCAATATGAATTGATGCTTTTATTAAATGATATTTAAATATTTATCTACAAGTTAATATATCTTTTAGTTTGCATGTGGCAGACTTGTTCTCAAGTGCTATCTATATAGTGCTATCTTGGTTTATCAGTGTATATAAGACATAATAGCAGAATTAAAGGCCAAATGTTATCAGAAAAGACGAGATCATGCTAATTTGTATTGGAAGCGTTTTCTTTTTAGTTACTGATTCCCAGCCGAAGCGTGTGCTCTTAGGAACTTAAAAAGTTGTAAAAATGGATAGTTATACTTCTGATAGCAGTGATAGTGATACAAATAGTAATAAAGTAATAGATTTGGCTTATTTGTTATTGGAGCCAGATACTGTGGACCATAATTTAGAAGCGTACATGAATGAAAGTAAAAGATTTTTTGAAGTGGAAAGAATTATTTTGCATCATAATCGGTTATCTACTCTCCCGAACAATTTAGTAAAGTTTTCAAACACCAAGATTTTGGACATTAGTAACAATGGGCTCACTAGTTTACCAAATATATTTGAGTATTGCCCTTTAACTACTCTAGTTGCTAAAAATAACTTGTTAAAAAATTATTCTCTACCAAAATCTTTTACAAAATGCACCACCTTGAAGGAACTTAATCTAAGTGGAAATCAATTAAATCAGTTTCCAGAACAAATTTTAGATTTTTTAAATTTAAAGTACCTTTATGTGGGTGGAAATGCTATGAAACAAATTTCAAAAAATATATGGAAATTGAAAAAGTAAGTTATTAACATATGTTTTATTAATCAGCTTATCCATTTTCTTAATTCCAAATGCTTCATTTCATAAATTGCTATTTGCTATTGCTTTAATTGTAACAAGTCCTTGTTATTATCAGCATCTACTGATAAGCTATCGTAAATTATGCACCGTTCCAAAAAATAAGCTACCTAGAATTGTTTTAGCCTACAAGTTCTTTCTTTTGGGGGAAATGAACTTACCGAAGTTCCAGCTACCTTAGGACAGCTACAGCATTTACAAGCTTTAGTATTATGTGATAATCAATTAGAGAGCCTTCCGGCTAATATAGCAAATCTTTACAAGTTAAAGTCCTTGCTGTTACACAAGAACAGACTTCGAACACTGCCTCCAGAGATTATAGCCTTAAAAAATTTAACAGAGGTAAGTTCAGCATAGAAAATAAGTCTAATAATTGGATAATATTTTGGAGTAATTTTGTGCAGTGGTATTGAAAAATATATAAACTGCACTTAATAGTAATATGATTGTGACATTTTAATGTACATATTAATAAACTTCATACCAAATTTGGGCTCTCTGCACTCTTGGATATATGCTTATATTAGACAGTACCTACTAAAAATTCATGTTAGGGTCAAATGATATCCAATGTTTTTTTTCAGAATGAAGCACTGGTAGCATACACCATTAAATCTGAAAGGTACAATAAAGATTTTTTTATTAGATGGTAGGACAATTTTTTTGTACTATTTAATAGTACTATCGAAATTAGCCAAAAATTGCAAAATGTCACATGAAGTGCTCATTTGGTATAAGAAAGGCATAAAAGGTATAAAAGGGTTGGCAAATATGCGGTTGTCAGTGAAACTCTGATATTTAGATCAATGCTAGAGTTCTCCATGAAAGGAAAAGGACAAAAAGATATCCTAAATTTTCCTTTTGGTTGTCAGTAAATAATTAAGATAGGTATAATTTGTATTAGCTTAATATATTTTTAGTAGTCAATGAATCAGTAAATGGAGATAAATTATTGTTGTATTTCTCCAGTATTACAACCTTAAGGGGGAACCACCTGGCAAATAAATGGTACACTTAAGATACTCATTTTCATAATTAGTTGAAAAAAAAAGAGGTAGAGAGAGGTAATCAAAAAGAAGGTAGAGATAAATGATGCTTAGTATTACTTACGTTTGTACATCAAATTACTCCTTAAGTTTACCCCGCAGACAACCCTAGCCATTAAGATAATTTTAAATATGCAGTTGTATAGTTATATTGTATTTTCACTTTTTTGGATAAAACATTCTTAGGATTATAGCTATATAAGGTTTGATGGGTCTATTTCTGATAATAAGAGATAAGTCAAAACGATCTGCCATAAGTATAATTTGTTAGATCTTTTAGAAAAAGATTACTGCTGTTTGACACACAACAAAATATAGATTTAACACATTGGGCTTATGACACACTCTGTTCCCTTACTATTTACAGGTAGACCTATCAAACCAATCAAGTTTAAAGGTAGTCTCCCCATTCAACTATTTTGCCAGCGGGCATTCTACCCACAGGGTTCAAGTGAATTTTGTTTACTGTATAAAAGCTATAGGGGATATGTTATTAAAAAATATACTGATTTATTTTTAGAATTTATCGCCTTTCAAGGAAATTTATAGAAATACAAAATATTTCTGTTTATTTGTACGATAAAATTTGTTTCTTTAGAATGATGGTTTCATCGGAAAATTGTAATCAACATGTATATATTTGTCTTGGTCAAATAAATCTCTATATATTCTCTTATATTAATATTTGAATTTCTCTTTGTTATAATTCTTTGTATTTAATATTTATAATTTTGAAATTTGAAAAAAGATTTTTAGAATGATTTGATTCTTTTCAGTTGAGTCTTAGAGATAATCCATTAGTAGTAAGATTTGTTAGTGAGATGAGTTACAATCCAACTAGTCTATTAGAATTATCAGCGAGAACAATAAAACTACATAATATCCAATTAGAACCTGGGGATATACCTTTAACGTTGCTCAATTATATGAATTCAGCTCATCGATGTGTGAATCCACATTGCAAAGGTAAGATTTCCTAAATCTAGTTTTAGTTCAGAATAATTAAATTTTTTACACAATGAAAGTTCAAAGCAGTAAATACACTATTCTTAAAATGTGACACAGGTTAATGAAAGATTTCTTAGGTCAGAACACTTCTTTTCAGTCCAGGGTTATTTTTATCAGAATAGTTTTGCCTATTCAAAAGTCTCACATTTCTATATATCGCGCACTGGAAAAAATGACAATAATATACCAAAGAAATAAAGACAAAATAAGTAGAATATTCTCAGAAAACTATATAGTTTCAAGCAAAGTTGTAACATATCTTTGCAATTTGTATTGTTCAACGTATCACTCAACAAGAAGGTTAAGACTCTTTGTTTGAGTACCGTAAAGAACGCCAAGTTATGACAGGTTTTCGTTAAAATTGTTACAAAATTTTTATGAAAATGAAATTATTTTTACAATTCTTCCCGAATTAAAGTTTTAAAATCATAATGAATAATTTTTTATAACAAACTAACAAATCAAACTGCAATAATTACAAAAAAATTGCATTTTTAGGTGTTTATTTTGACAACAGGGTCGAACATATCAAGTTCGTCGACTTCTGTGGAAAATACCGCATTCCCCTACTGCAGTACCTCTGCTCATCGAAATGTGCCATCAAAAGGGACGAAAACTTCGACCGCCCTGCAAGATCGTACATGATGAAAAAAGTATTGTTGGGTTAAGATGAAAATGTATCGGATATATTTTATATACTTTATTTTTTAAATACTTCGTATATGTAGGTAAAGTAACATACAGTTAGCGAAGAGTATATACAGCGAAACAGTTTTTCTAAAAAAAGTAACTAATTTAAAATTGTACTAGTATTCTAAATAAAATTACAGTACTTTAACACTAGCATTAGCTATATCAGCTACAACCTTAAAAATTACTGTGTCTGGGGAAAGTTCAGGATTTTTAAGGTTACTATGAAAATCATACATAATACAACTATGACATGACCTAAAATAATGTCACGTGGCCTTGTGTTGAAAGGTGAAAGAAAAATCGACAATTTTTTTATAGAATTTATCTAAACGAGATGACAAGTAACTAATAGTACAACAAACATGTACAAATTGTGATGAAAGCACATTATACATTATTTCTCAAAAAACTGAAGGTAATTAAGTTTGTTATGCTGGAGTTTCCATTGGTATTTAACAATTAAAGTTGTAATACTAAAATAAAGAAATTAATGTAATTAAAATTTGTTTTGAGAGATACTAAATATGTGCCTATTATTGGAAACTTTTTGAAAATGTTAGTGTCAATAAAAACCAATCCAGTCTGTGGTGTTTTATTCTCCCATTGTTGAATTATCCGAAGACTATAAAGGCTAATGTTTCCATAGATTTTTTTTAATTAGTTCTTTGATTTGATATTTATACAATTGGTTTTGTAAGCTAATAGCCAATAGTTATACCAGATTTTCTTTAAATAAGTACCACAAGGGACTTAATGATAATGACTAGATAGCCAATTGCGAATGTGCTTGTTTACTGGATAAATAGAACTTTGTACTTTCACAAGTTCCCTAGTTCTCTAAAGCAGTACTGCTACTGTTATGGGGATATACAGGGTATCCCAAAATATAAGTATACAGATTGAACATAAACAAAAACCAATAAATTTTAAATATTTTTAAAATTTTTTAATTTTATTAAATGAACCTAATATGCATATTTGGAGACTATAACTTTCTCAAAATTGCAAGTCCTTAGCCTGCTGACTTTTTTTTAGGTGCCAGTTTTTGGAAAAATTGCATTTTTTTATTTGAAATTTAGCAATTAATGTTTTTTTATATTCCTCAAAATGTCCACATACCAATTTCTATATATAAAGAGTTATTTAAAAATGTAACAATTCCCGCTACATTTGAATTTATATTGGTTTAGTTTATTTTTTTCATTGTTTTTCTTGCAAAATTGAAAAAAAATTCAATAGGTTCAGCCGTGATGTGTAGCACCATATTAGCAAATTTCTTCAAAAACTAGCACTTTAAAAATTATCAGCAGATTTGCAATTATCTAGGAAGGTATGGTTTTCACAAATAAGCGTCAATAAGTTCTATTTAACAAAAAACTTAATTTGTGTTTTATTATATAAATTAATAGTGAGTAAACTTATGATTCGTGACTTGCTGTATATAAGTATTTAACACATCACTGCTCACAAAAAATATATTGGATATAGATACCGATTGCAGAAAACAACAACTCCATGGGCTAGTGCGCTGACTGGCATTAAATGCCTCATCCAATGTCTAAAAAGATAGCTAGGGTTGTTTGTTAAATCACCACACATACACTGGTTTCGGACTTATTTGTCCTCGTCAGTATGTGAGACATCTGACGACCAGTCCAACTGTTAAATCTTCATTATAGATAAACTGCGTAAATGCGAGGCGTAGCAAAGAACTACATGTCTTAACTACCATTCAATGCTGGTCGGGGTACTAACCCGTGGAATCATTGTTTCGTGCAATATCATCAGTTTATTAGTTTCAGTATAGTGGGCGATAGGTGCCTGTGCTAAACAAGGCTCAATTCTGTCTGTAATACACATTGACTAGCGAAGACCATTAACAGATGTAGCTCTGCTACGCTCACATATACAGGGTGATTCATTAACAATGGGAAAATCGAAAGCTGAAGATACTACACGCGAAATGGTGACCATTGGGTGGATTCTTCGAACAATTACTTTAAATCATTATTACTTGTTTTATTGTTAATTGTTGTAATAACATAAAGAATCACTTGGTTTGTTTCGGTTTTAATTTCTCGTATTATCAAAACATACTGTTCATTAAATCGATTTTTCTCGAAAACGGATCGAGACACCGAAATGGAACAAGAATTATAGAAATTATAGTTTCACAAGTTTTTAAGTTCCTAACCTGTATATTTTCAGAATAATCGCAAAAAAACGATTTAAAATTTTAACTTTCAATTCCCTGTATTTCCGAAACTATCAACTTTCGAATAAGGCATGTTTGCGCAAATGTTCACCATTTCACGTGTAGTATCTTCAGCTTTCGATTTTCCCATTGTTAATGAATCACCCTGTATATTGGATGTAGTTCACGTTCCTCTTGAAAAGAGATAGAGTTCAAGGATATAATCGTCTGTAAAATATTTAATTTCAAACAAATGAATGTCAATATGCTCAATAATTTGATATAGTGTGGTCAGTCATAAGATAGGGAAAAAATGTCGAGATAAAAGTTGTAGCAAGCTTATCTTTTTAATACTTAGAAATCACCGCAACTATTGAACATTGAACACACAGAATATGTGTGTTGAATAACAATTTTGTTATCGAGATAAATTTTGAAAGGTGTATCTCTAAGCAAGGGATAAATGTTGCAATAAATTGGCCAATTTACTCGTCAACTTTTAAGGTTACAGTAAATCACGCAGCTTACAGCTGCAACAACAGTAATAAACATCTGCATAATCTATTCTTAAAATAATTTAATTGGTATTACTGGAAAAACAGTTACACAAAAATCGGCCGATTGCCTTCTGCCTCTAATTTCTTCAATAATTTTTATATTACATAATAGCCAATTCCTGGGCCAATTTGATTCGTTAAAAATTTTTCCAACATGCCACATTTTTACTTTTGGCGATAAACCTACTAAACATCTAAAAATATGAAAACATAGACGTTTTGTTTAAAATAATGCATGTTAACATGTTGATAATTGTTGTACAATAATTTTTACGATATAAAAAAATTTAAAATATTTTAAACAACTTTTATCTTTCGTCTTCTTCAAATCGCAAAATAGTGTAGAACTTATGATGGACCACCCCATACCTTAATATTTCTAATACTCTTATCAGCTTCACATTTCGAAGTTATCAAACGATCGAAAAGAAATATTAAACCTCATTTTATTTCCCACAGAACATTATACAGTAAAAAGTTGTAAGAGATTAGAAGAACGACATATATTTCAGTAAATCTGTTTTATTTTTCACCATTATCACTAAGACTAAATGTTAAGGCAATAACAGATTTTGCAGTTATAAAGGATTAAATAAATCAACAGAAATTAAAAAAAAATTATAAACATTTCATACATTTTTAATAAAAAACAAATTTAAAGATGTATTAGATTATAGCATTTGTGTGCCAAATATTTTGGGTACTAATCTACCATAACTGACGCCTTTTTTAGCTCTAAAAAATATGACATATCTAGCACTTATTTACAATGATTAAATATTTAAATAAAATTTACACTCATCAATATCCATTTTCGACCAAATTAATTATATACAAATAATAATGGATTTGACAATAAACATACAAAATGGATTGAGGTTGCTAAAGGTATTTTTTTTAAATGGCTAAATAGTTATATCATCTAGACACCACTGAATTTTTCTTCATTAACCAACTTACTTGTAATATTTTATTCACTTACCTATGTTTTTATTTGATCTTTAAAGTGTAGGGTCCCATAACATTTTATTGCTTTTTAATATAAATATTTTACATTATTCTATGTTTGATGTTAACTAGAAAACGTTTTCAATGTTCTTAATTCCATTTCGGATTACGACAATTATAGTCCAAATGTTAACCATTGTGATTCACAAAACTTCTTTAAAAACAAATTGCTACAAATTTATTACACTGCAGTAAGATAGGTACGTCTTTTCCAGAAATAATTCAGAAACAGTAACTTTAATTTCAGATGCATTATTTTTGTCACCAAAAATGACCAGCTATTCTATTTTTTTAATGAAATCGCAGTAATTTATTTTCAATTGATTTTTTTCTTAACTATGGACAGTCATTAGTTTAGTGTGGGGTTATTACAAGACATTTATTAAAATGAAATAAAAGTCCGATAAAAGTGCAAAAATCGGAGAAAAAATTTTAGCATTGTTTTTCAAGATGTAAATATGGTTGAGTAATAAAATGTCGATTCAATGACAATTTTTAAAGTTTTAAAAATAATTAATGACGTCCTCCAGTAAGTAACCAATTTTTAAATGACTGGTCATTTAGTCATCACTATGTCCAACCCACCACACTGATTGCTATTTTAGCGTTAGCACAATTATTACTGAAGCACCTTGCAAGCACAAGTTGAAAGTTTCTGTTATTCACATTGTCCGGTTAATTGTTATATCACATCAAATCTATTTTATTACAGCGGCATTATACACCCGAGGTAGAAAGCACTACCGTATAACTCCAAAAGTAATCAGTGGCTTTGCGTTAACATGAGCTAGATACAGGCTCTGAAATTAATTTTAATGTTTTGACTTGAATTTTTTCTGAAATAAGTTCAACGTATTCTGAAACAAAATTTATATTTTCCGAGTTATTCATTATCCATAATTTTGAAACTAAAAAAACCAACATTTGATGAAGCAGGACCGACACAATTATGTGATAGCCGTAAGGGAAATTGGAAATTAACTTTTCGGCACAATTGTAAATAAAATGTTTGTTATTTAACTCTGAAATTGTTAGTAGTAAAACCTTATTCAATTATTGATTTACATGTCTTGTTTTTTTTTGGATCTCTATTCCTGACAAAAGTAATCAAATAAAGTTGAATTCTTGTCAAAATAATTCGATGTGCAACTAAATAAAATACCTCTATGACTTTTCATAAACCTATTGTATATGCTTACAGAGATGCAACACTGCAAACTGTATTATTTCAATTTTCAATTTGTATTTTTCACGAAAAAAATACTTTTTTAAATTTATTATTGTAAGAGAAATGCAGTATTATTTAATTTAATGAATCATTATTATTTATTACTTCAATCAAAATAATTATTTGGAAGAATTTGTACAATAATGAATTAAAATACAAATATTCTTTCCTATTTGCAAAAAAATACAAATTGGAAGTTCACACGATAAAGTTTATAGCGTTGTTTCCGTAAACATACAACATAGGCTTGTGAAAAATCAGTTAGGGGTATTTTAGGATGCTCTTCGAGTTTCTTGTAAGGCTTTCTATTTAACACTTTCGCTGCACAATACGTCTGAACGTAGCTATCGCGTTGTGCGCGAAAAGTTTACCGCATGCGAGTATATTCGTCTGGAGCAGTTAGACTACTTATATTTTTACATTATGTTGTGTTAAATTAAATTAAAATATGTTTAAAGGTTTCAAAATAATTGTAATAGTTTACTAGTTTAGTTATTAATATTTTATTATAAAGCATCCATCACTACGCTCCTCAATCTCAAACTCGTCGCTGCTTTCGCTCCTCGCTAAAATTTCTTCCAGTTCTTTGTCTGTCAATTTTCTAGATATTTTTACGATTTTATTTTAAATAAAATACAATATATCGATAGCCTGAAACTGAAAAAGAGATGAACAATCTTGGCATTATTACCAGTACCTCCTTCCATAAAAATAATTGCCAAAATTATAAATTCTGCCCGCAAAAATTGCAACAACCGAGTCACTAATGTGCATGGTTGCGAATATATATACGGTTTGAGCAGCCTGATCCAATTTAACTATTCAAGCAAATTAATTCTGGAGCAGTTCGAGTCCTATAAATTTTTAGCGAATAAACTCGTCTGGAGCAGTGAAAGGGTTAAACTGACATTAATTTAAAAATAAATTCCCTTTGAGATGTCCTGGTGGAGACACCTATGGAGAAATTCTAACACATTACAAAGTTGCAAATCAAATTAGTTCGATTACTTTTGAGACGGATGCAAAAAAACGGGACATGTAGATCTAAGCTCACTGGTAACATTTCCAAAGTTATAGAATTTTCAGCTCAGTGTGCTAAAAAAAAACGGGATACTGCAGGTTCCTAATCAGTCCAGCCCCCAAAATTTTGTACATCACGGAAACATTACAATAAAAAACTTTCAAAGTACTTTTTTGCAGAGCAATTTGTTTTCAAACAGTTAGATCGGAAAAAATATAGTGTAGTGAAGATGTAAAATGGCCAGAAACGAACGGTTGGAAAAAGTTAAACATGATCACATAAAAAAACGTGTTAAAATATTTGATATGTTATATTTGACTTTCTACTCTAGAGCATTTACTTTAATCACAAAAAAATATACCTTTAACAATAATAATGTCATTTAATTAAATAAGAGTATGTACAATTAATTATATGCAGTGTATGCTATTTAATTTACCCTACAATACAATACATCCATTGGGCTGGTGCTTATACGATTTTGTAACTTTAATTCCCAACACAAGATCAGTAATAAAAATACTACTAGCGTAGAAGTCGCTAATTGTAAATTTAATAAAATTTCTGTCGTTTAACAAATAATTAAATTACACACTTGTACACGCAACAGTTTATATTAAACTAAAAAAGAAAGATCCATAACGTAGATGAGTGCACAAAATTCTTTATTAATTCCTATTAAATTTCTCTAATTTCCATGTTCTGGAGGCGTGGATTCATGAAATGTGTTAATGTTTGAAACGCATTGCACTTCTTAAGCAATAACGATGATTATTCTAGGTTTTTCATTCAGTTTTTAATTTTTTTCTCTAAAGCGTAAGCTAGAAGTACACAAGAGTCTGGAGTATATATATTATTCTTTTACTGGCTGATTTTTGAATAACTAAGTCCCTAACCAATCCCTTTTTCGTCGCTTTTTCCTATTCTTCAGGGGCCGGACGCACGTCTCAATAACAGCCATTATCGTAGTCCGACAACTTGATTAATTCCTACAAATTTTTTGCACGCGTTACGAGAACAAACCTATAGCAATAAAATACTTGTTGGACACATCCTAAAAATTAAACACGACTAGTTTTTTCTGAAGAACTCGCAAAAGTACAAATATTCAGTGTTTCCGTAAAGTGATGCATAAATTCAAAGAGTTAGGTAATTTTTTCCCGTAAATTTTTATTATCGATTTTTTTTTTAATGATTCTATAGTGCATTTTTGGTTGAATTTATGAAGGTACGTTGCTCCTCAAATATAAAAAATTGCTACTATACAGGGTACATCAATAATCTGCAAATCGCAAATAAGCATTTTCTGGGGTATGAGGTTTATAGTTAAAAATTCTTTTGAATTACATTACTAAACATTTTCCTCAAATATGATTTCTCTGGATATTTAAAAATAATTTGGTCTTAATACTTTTTAATTTTTTAAATATTTAACAGCCGGTGTGTAAATTTACAAATAACATTTTTGAACATTTGAAATAATGCATATGTTTTCACAAAGTACATAATTTTCTTGATATACTACAAACAAAAGCATCGATGAAAAAAATAAAAATAAAAAAATACTTTTTTCCTGGCTGTTAAGGGAGTACACTACTTTGTATATTTCACAACCATTTTTCCCCAAAAAAAATTACCTGACACTTTATCAGATGACTGTATACAGGGTGTTCTCAAAGTTGAGTCATTTAGTTTAACGGCTGGTAGAACTCGTAAAAAAAGTCGATTTACCAAGTCGTTTATATAAAAGTTGGCAGAAGAGTTATAAAAATTCTGTTCTACAAAAATTGTTCAAAATTGTTACCATTTGTTTACCATTTATGTTTTTACAATGCAGCGGTCGTAAATGACAACATATCAGGTTTGTATTATGAAGTTCTTAAATTTCAATTTTTTAAAATAATTGCTTTATTTGGCAACTTTTATATAAACCATTCTTGGTAAATCGACGTTTATTTTACGAGTTCTACCAGCTTTTAAAATAAATTACTCATCTTTGAGAAAACCCGATATACTGGGTGTCCAGGAATGGATTTCCCTTTTTAAACTCGAATAACTTGGCAACAGTGTAACGTAACGAGGTCAAGTTAGCATCGTTTGATAGTGGCTCGATGCGCATTATTTAGCAACAATGGAGTGTTGGGCTGGTGTGCATCGTGCGTTCATTGAGGCATATGTCAAGAGTAATGATTCCTACACAATTGCATGGCGAAGACTTTGTACTCATTTTAATATTAGGCTTGTGGAGGACGCACCAAGTAAAAATTTGGTCAAATCGTGGGTGAGGAAGTTTAGAGAAACAGCATCAGATATAAATGTGAAACCTCGTGATCGTCCAAGGACTGTAACTGCTCCTGAGAATGTTGAAACTGTATGTGCTGTGATACTTAGAAATCCAAACGGATAAATTCGTAAAACATCAGAAGTGATTAGAATGTGCTAATCATCTTTCCACACAATTTTAAGGAGATTTGAAGTTTTATCCCTACAAGATTCAAATAGTGCAAGAATTAAACCTAAAAGACTTTAGAAACCATCGTTCTTTCGCCGAACCATTTTTTTGCAAAAGACCAAATTAACAACATTCTGTTCAGTGATGAAGCGCACTTTCACCTTTCAGGTGCAGTTAATAAACAAAATTGTCGCTATTGGGCACCGGAAAATTCAAAGAAAAAACACGAAACTCCCTTATATAGTCCAAAGGTAACTATGTGGTGTGCTATGTCGGCTTCAAAAATTATTGGCCCGTATTTTGAGAATCGACCCGGCGTAGCCCAGACTGTAAATAGTGATCGTTATTGTGCGATGCTTCGGACGTTTTTGGTACCTCAGCTGGAAGAATTTGATGGCTTTAATCAGGATACATGGTTTCAGCAAGATAGACTTCCGCACATACAGCCTGGGCGTCTATGGAAGTCGTTCGAGAATTATTCCTGGAAAAGGTCATCTCTCGCTTTGGAGATCTACACTGGCCAGCGAGGTCTCCCGATCTCACCCCACTGGACTTCTTTTTTGTGGGGATATCTCAAAAGTTAAGTTTATGTTAATAGACTCTAGGACTTTGGAAGCATTAAAACCAGAAATACGGGAAGAAATAAATGGAATTCTATCTGCAATATGTTTAGCAGTTTTTAACCACATGAAGACGGTACTGTAAGAGTGTTTTGACCGAAATGGAAGACACCTGGTCAGTATAATTTTTAAAACATAAAATCCGCCTATATTGTGTGTATTTTTGCATCAATAAATTTTAAAACTTCAAGACAATTTTTTATTAGCCTTTTAAAAGGGAAATTCATTCCTGGACACCTAGTAATTTGTTGTAAATATTTATTACCAATTAGAAGCAAATTTCAACTTAGGACTGTCGAGAGCTACTCGAGCTTCAGGTTTTTGTATGAGAGGTAGATTAATCACTATACAGGGTGTCGCACTTAAAAGAAATACAAACCTGCAGCTTTTTTATTTTTTGGCCGATTTTTTTTAGAATGTAGGATAAAAAAACTGAACTGAAATGCTGCTGTTTTTATGGAAGCAATACAAGGCCAACTAGCACGTGTTGTTTTTGACAAAACAACTAATTGGTATTAGCAATATTTTTTCCAAAACACAGATTACGTATTCTCGTTCAGCATCCCTTAAAACATCTTATCACCAAGTTTCATCAAATTCGATCGGCCAAAAAATAAAGAAGTTACAGGCTTGTATTACATTCCACGACATCATGGAGTGCTAGCCTGAAGATGTATCGATTTTGATGAAACTTGATGGTAGGACGTTTTAAGGGATGCTGAATGAGAATACGTAATCTGCTTTTTAGAAAAAAAATCGCTAGTACCAATTAACTGTTTTGTTGTCAAGAAAACGCGTCCTAGTAGGCCGTGAATTGCATTAATAAACACAGCAGTATCACAGTTAAATAGTTTTTTACCCTACATTCCCATATAAAAATTTTGAAATCGGCCAAAAAGTAAAGAAGTTACAGGCTTGTATCACATTTAAGCGTGACACCCTGTATAAATTCCGTTTATAAATTGTCACAATCCACAAAATTATCGACAAATTTAAGCATTTGGAAAAAGTCTAGGCAAGGTACCTTTAAAATTATCAACAAATTTAAAATTGCATTCGGTAGTCTCAAAATCTAGTCAACACTGTAGAATTTTTTAATTTTTTTTCCATTTCCGAGGTCTCGGTATCATTAAACCTAATTCGCATAATTGAGATGAAATAATTTCTAGATGTAAAAGGTTTTTGTAAGGCTGAGGCGAATTGAATAAATTTTTTAAGCGGAGCCACTTGCGGCGACGGCACTTGTAACGTATTATTTGAACGTGCGCCCGACCCCTAGGTCATATTACACAAGTATCAACTTACATACCAAAACGAGTAATCCTAAATTAACACCAAAATAAATTATGTTAAAAATCACTTATAACATACAACAGTGAAAATGGATAATAAAAGATCTATTTTAAATAACTTATAATTTTCCTGTTAAAATTCTAGGACTTTTATATCGAGACTAACAATATAATTATAACTATTTTATTGAAAAACCTGGTTTAATACACAAATTACAGGGGTGAATAGGATATAAATAAAATTATAATTATTAGGATCGATATAATAACAAATTACTAATAAAAATACATTTTACAAATAAAATGTAATAGTAAAATTCCAAATATACAAAGTCCGTTCAGCTACTTAAACAAAAAAAAATATATACACATGCTGCAACCTGATATAAAATCTCCTAGCCACCAGATTTTTCAATATATGTATATATCGTTTACTTTTTTGCTGATTACATAAGAACCTCCGACATTGGCATGGTAAAAATTAACGTAATAAAAACAAGGGGCATTAACATACAAAATGCCTTCTACAAACAATTAATCAAGTTCTGTACAACGCACGTATATTATTAATAATCTATAGTACAGCTGTCCTCTCTCACACAAAATCGCTTACTAAATATATTGGGGGAGTCAGGTCGAGGCGCTGACACGACCGACTGGCCGACCAGGAGGGGGATTAACTAACTAAGCGATGCCAGAGGCGGCTGCTTGCAGAGGGGTTGACGTCGCATCGCTCGGCTCTGCCGTACCCGAAGATGTAGCTCCATCTGGGGGGCTGCTGCTGGCTTCCTGGACACCTCGGGGCAACAGTACGCTGTTTAGAGAGGGCTGGATACTTAATTCTGAAAATAGAGTCATAAAAACACTCTTCTCTCGATAAAAAAAGCATACAATCTTATAGATTAGTCAGGAATGCTATGGATGCACAAATCTGTAGACCAATATTTGAATACAAAGTTACAAATTAAAATTTTGCTGAAATTAGAAAAATTTATATGAATACTCGATAGGGTCCAAAATTTCTTCAAAATTTGAATTTTTTTTCGCTATTTTATCATTTTTTTAGGTAGAAAAAAATCTCCATTCTGAAAATTTCGAATCGATATTTTAATTTCTACAGGTCACTCATAATTATTTTAACTTTCAAAGTAGTGGACTTATGTTTTCGAGTGACCTAAAAGTGAATAAATATCAACGAACTACTAATTTTTTTTTATTGAATTTGATGAACAAAAGAATAGAAATAAATCACGAGACACGTAAATTTAAAAAAATTAAAATTATAAATATTTGATACTCACTGTGCGGTAGTAAATTTTACCTCGAGAAATTTTTTAAGTGTCTTGTGATTTATTTCTATTCTTTTGTTCATCAAATTCAATAATAAAAATTATTAATTCGTTGATATTTATTTTTAGAGGTCGTTGAAAATCATTTTAGGTACCTACACTACTTTTAAAGTTAAAATAATTATGAGTGTGACCTTTAGAAATTAAAATATCGATTTGAAATTTTCAGAATCGCGATTTTTTTCAACCTAGAAAATGATAAAATAACGAGAAAAAAATTAAAAAAAATTCAATTTTTGACGATTTTGGAATTTTTAAAAATCTTGGGCGGCCTCTAAAAAAATTTTTTTTGAGCTGATTTTTTGAGGGGGCTCTTAAAACATGATAAATTAACATATTTTCACAAGAAACACGAAAAAAAAATTGTTTTTTTTGGGCCACCCTAATACACAAACAATTCATTAATAATTGCATTTTAGTAGCAATAACCAGCATTTTACCTTGCATAATCAGTTTCCAAATACTTGAACAGGGTTTATAGTTCAAAAGTAATAAAGAATTCCCTGACTTTTCCAGGTTTTCCTTGACTTATAAAAAAAAAATCCAGGTCACTTGTACTTCATTTTTACATACTAATAATTGGTATAATCTTTTTTATACCCAAAGAACCTCTTATAAAGATACCAAAACCACAATGAAGCCAGAGCCGGCTTTCATAAAATTTCCAGTTGCAAACATCAAATTCCCTGACTTTCATGAACATTTTTAAAATTCCCCGACTATTCCGTTTTTTATGAATAAATTCCCTGTCTCTTCCTGGCATTGCCGGTTTTCCCAGCCCCTACAAACTCTGTTGAAGTCACTACAGTTTTCACAAATTGCAATTGAATGCAGAGTCCATAATATCTCTAGATTAGATATAAAATATAAGTCATTTAATATAAAATTTGATCCTATTTAATTTAGTTAATTTAAAGCTTAAATGTTCTATTATGTCATAGAACATTAGAATTATTTTTTTTTGCTTTAATATTTGCATAAAATTTCTAGAGAACGTTTCTATTTAAAATCTAACTTTAGCATTCCCTAAAAAGAAAATTTTTGTTCTATAAAGCATAGAATAGTCCCGTCGCATCGCGGTCCATGCTAGTAAAATATTTTAGTTTTATGGAATAGTCATGTTTTTTTTTTAATCTTAACGTTACTAAATGAAAAACTAAGAAAACTACCTAAGAAACCTGTTAACGAGCTGTAAGATGCCAATCTCAGCCCGTTATTTTAATACTGGGATTTTTGGGACCAAGGTTAACATAAATGTTAAATTTTAATTATTATTTATTAAATTTGAAGGTAAAACGAAATACTCATAAAAAATAATACCATTGAAAAACTCGATTTATTTTATTCTTTGAGCTTATATTAGGACTTTTAATCCTAAAATTTTCGTGATAAGGGTTTTTTTAAAGGGACTCCCCCAGATTGGCACCCCTAACAAGCATCTAACGGAGTGGCATTCATATTGGCAATTTCTACGCTCCATAAGAGATACAACTACGTTCTATTCTGCATTTACTAATATGTAGAAATTCAAATTATAATTTTACTCGTTATATTTAATCTACGACCATATTATTTCTACTCATATTAATTTTAAACGTATGTACTTTAGTTTTCTGATATAGTTAATTAAAAAGTTGGAAAATTCTGTTGTTAGTTTGACGCCAACTGCTTTGATGTTTTAAATTAAGCAAGTCATTGTTTTTACATAGCAACAGACAAACAAAGAAGCTATAAAGTGTAATAGAGCTCGTGGGCTATAATGTGCATTTTTATGTTCGGTCCTCTATAATCGTAACGTACAAGTTTATTTCATTACACGTAATTGTAATGATTTATATCAGATACACAATTAATTTTCTTGTGAAAGTTGTTACACAAATAATAAAACCACGTTTCAAATGAAAAAAGTTTTCAAAAAGTATATTTTGCCTTATTTGAAAACTTTGTTCCAATAATGTTTTGTTAAATATAAAATTTGGAATATTTACCGTGTTCTGTGAAATTAAATAAAGGTGGTAATTCATTTCCATTGGGTAGGCGGGTGTTGGGCTCCCTCAACTCGTTGAAGAATGGGTGTGCACAAGCCTGCAAGGGGCTGATCCGTGACGACGGAGTGTACTCCAGTAGTCGGGCCACCAGCTCGATTGCCTCGGGTGGCGTTCTCGCCCGGAACACCTGCAACAGAGCACACGCCTGCATTGAACACTACAAAAGGAAAATTTAAAGGAAATAAGGCAGAAAATATAATGTTTAGAATAGTTAAAAATAGCGTACGCTACATCAAAGCATTTGATAAAAATTTCACTATGTAGAAGAATATATGATGATTTTAAATATATGCATATTGAAAAAATGCTTTTGTAATTTTTCACAAAAATATTTTTTCACAGTTGCACTTAAATTTTACCTAGGGTTCTACTTTTTCGCTTTAATATAGTAAAACTACTTTACACAGGATGTCCTGAATTGTATAAACCAAATTTTACCCTTGAAAAAAGGAAAAATTAATTGATCTCCGATATACAGGGTGATTAAATTGAAGTTCCTAAAAATAGTTCTTTGAATATATTGAAAATACCTAAAAATAAACAAATAGAATTTCTATTTAACTTTTTGTCCTATAAGGCTAGATTTTAACCAGAATCACTTACAGGCGGGTAAAACTAGAGAACCTAGATAAAATTTTAACAGATAAATAATAAAAAATTACTGCAGCATATTGAAAATGGTTTACACCGATCGTTTGCATACAGTGAGCTCGTTTTATTTGTCTCGGCGTTTGCCACAAGCGAACCTGATGAAATTAACTTGATAGATGAAATGACAATGTCCTTAAATTAGCGACAACAAATAAGAAGCAAAGCGGCAAGCAAGACTGGTATATTGTGTCAGTAAAAATGAGGGCTGCCATCAACTACACTTACGCGTATCTTTTGGTGATTGGTGCTATCAAACGGCATCGACATTCTTGTCAGCATGAACTGTGAACAGACGTTTGGCGTCACTCTATGCTCGACATTAACAATTCTTATAAGAGCATCATCAGTGAGGGTTAGTGGGTTAATTCTATAGTACACAAACAGTGTTTACATTGTTTAGACAGAAGTAACGTCTGGTTGTTCATTTTTTTTTTTTTAGTTGGTAGCCGACCCTCACATTTACCAAGGAAAAATTCGTGTGATGCTTTTAAGTTAGTAAAAAGCAGAAAAGGTGGAAGCTGGACATGAAATTGTGAAAGCAGCATGCAAGTTATTGAATTATTTAATCTTTTTGTAAAATAGACTTATTTTTTTGTGTTTACCAACAAAGTGGTGTAAGTTCTATTACTTTAAGAATAAATTATACAAATTTGATTATGAATTCTCAAAATCATCAAATATCACAAAATTTTTTCAAATAATTTAATTAAGCAACAATAAATATTTTTAGCATATAGCATATTGCAAATCAGTGATATGCTAAATATCTCTTCGACATAAGTAAAATATTTTCAAGCACTTTCATGTTTCATTTTTTGGACCACTTTGTATAATTTGAAACCAGTTATTAATAATTATTCCACATACAGATAAAGACACATAAAACAACAATAGGGATTAACGAATAATTAGATAAAAAGCAGATCGAATGGATACAAAGTAATTTCCAACATAAATTACTTGAATGAAATGCAATTTTAATTTTAATCGACTTGTGAAGATAATTATTAATTTATCAACTTTCAAATTATTCAAACACTCAACATAGCAATCACTATTAGAGAGAAAATAGAAACCAATTTACCTGTTGCCATGGATGCGATTTGATTTGGGGAAATTTGAATTCGGTGTAGTTAGGGTTCATCTCCTTGATCTGCTCCTTGGTAGGCGTGCCCAGTACCTTGATAATTTCAACTAGTTGATCTACCCCAGAGTCCCCGGGGAAGATTGGCTGGCCCAGCAGCAGCTCGGCCAGCACACAGCCTGCACTCCATACGTCGATCTTAGTGGTATAATCGATTGCTCCAAATATGAGCTCTGGGGCTCTGTAGTAGCGACTGCATATATACGACACGTTGGGCTCTCCCTTTACTAGGTGCTTCGCACTACCAAAGTCACATAACTTAAGCACACCCGTGTCAGGGTCTAAAAGCAGGTTCTGCGGTTTTATGTCTCGGTGACATATGCCTAATGAGTGAATGTATGCTAGTGACCTGAATAGTTGGTACATATATAACTGGAACAAATAAATTTATTAAGAATCTAGATTTCAAAATTAAATGAAGTTTTAAAAAGGACGATTTTAGATATTTTTGCAAATAAAAATTAACTATAATTATGATAATTGTAAAACGTAACTTACGAGGTAATTAATTATACAGAGTATTCTCAAAGTTGAGTCATTTATTTTTAACAGGTGGTAGAACTCATAAAAAAAGTCGATTTACCAAAAATCGTTTATACAAAAGTTGTCAAATAAAGCAATTATTAACAATTATTTTAAAAAACTGAAATTTAAAAACTTTATAATACAACCCTGACTTATTGTCATTTTCGACCACTCCGTTGTAAAAACATAAATTGTTTGTTTACTACTGATACTGGGTATGTCTTTTTTTGTAGTTGCACGGTTTTGAGTATGCTTTTCGATTTGACAGTGCTAAATAATTCCTACAGCAGTGCGTGATGATATTTTGTGCAATAAATGGCCATGTTCATGAAAACAATGAACTAGAGGACATAATATTAATTTACGGGGAGTGTCAACCAAATGCAGCCGCAGAATGTCGCTTGTACGCGGAAAAGTTTCCTTTACGAAATCATCCGGCTCCGCGGATGTTTGGAAATTTAGTTACAAGACTCAACGACACAGAGTATATATTTAAAGAAACAACGAGGAGGTCATGCTGGAAGACCTACTCCACGCGAAATGGTGGAGATCGAGGAAGAAATTTTAGAAATTGTCGAAAATGACCCAACAACGAGCACTAGGTACATGTTAGTAAACAAACGATCTATCTTTCAACGTACTCAAAACCGTGCAACTACAAAAAAAAGACAAAAACTGTTGAACCGATTGAGTTCCCCCTTGGTACAAATGTTGATAACATTATTACCTTCTATATGATGGAAATTGAATATCCTATTAAAGAACACCTACAGTCTGATGAATGTAAAATTAATATTTCTTAGCTTAAAACAAATTCCTCAAAATTGACTCATTTTCTTCCGTCTAATCGTATATATGTTCCGTTAATTTAATCCTGAGCCTCATTAATAGGGTTGCCAACTGTCCCGATTTTTGGCAATTTTTTTTCAAATACCGCTTAACCCCTAGGAACACACCAAATGTCCCAATTTCAAAAGATTATTGCATTATTTGCGATATCACTACTGTAAAAATTTTAAGGTTAACCTGCTGAATTATTTAAGGGGTTACAACGCTGCAACGGTCTAAAAAAAGTGTTTTTGACAATTTTTTTTATAATAGAAGGAAAGATAATAGAAAAAAACTGTTTAAGTATGTTATTAGGGATGTATTTAAGTGTACAGAACTAGCGTAAATTTCAAGACGGAGCAAAAAAAAATTGTCTTTAATTTACATGAGTATAGCTAGACGTACCGGATTGTAAAAATATTGTTTTTTGTAAAATTGGCAAGTGTTTGAAGTTAAACGTTAAATTTTTGACCAAAAAAAGGGCAGTTATTTGTTTATAACAATTGTTTAAATTAACTTATCAAAAAATCCGTATGTGTTTCTCTTCAAAATGTTGTTAAAATTTCAAAAGAAAATATTGAAAATTGTTGGAGTTATGGTGCGTGAAAAAATAAAAAATTCAACTGTTTTAAATTTTGCTTGAATTGTACAGGCATACTCCCTAATGACATCCATGAGTGTATTAGAGAAGTTATAAATCAATAGGTAAGAATGGTACGTGGTACCTTCCGAGCAAGTATGTTCATAGTGCAGGTAGCCGTATGAGAGGCGCCCCACGCTTCAGGAAAAGCGCAAAATTAAACAAAAAAAATATTTCTCATGTATAAAACCTTTTACCTCATATTCTAGAAGGTTCAAACTACCATTTAAGCAGAAAAAAAAAACGATGTTTTGAAAATTCTAGTGGTGTAACCCCTTAAAAAATTTCAAAGCTAACAAAATGTTGTACATATAGTGCAAATACGATATATTCCAGTAAATTAGGAAGCATTGATAAAATAGGTTTAACACAATTTTTTCAAAAACTTGACCGCAAAATGAGATACAAAATTCTAACGAGTGCATTTATGGTATATTTTGTGAATAAAATGAGAAAATCAGATAAAGTTTTGTGCCCTTTTCTTTGTTACTTATGTCATTTGTGATTTTATAGTTTTATTTTGTCTTGTACATGATTTTTTATATTTTTACATATATCACATTTCTCTCTTAAGTCCCTGGATTGACCTTTATTTCTCTCTGACCATTCAGTCATTACCTGTTATTTACGACATAGGTGTATCGGTTGTTTATTATAAATTTTTGTGAAAAAATATTAGAATCCATCTTGTAATTTGTAATACAGTTTTAAATAAATAGACAAAAGTGAAAAAAATTTGAGAAAATTTGATAACTATGTCAAAAAATGAATCTAAACTAAAATTTGCTAACTTTGAAACCCATTAATATTAGTTATATAGTTAAAGAAATGGATACATTATTTGACCTTGAATTGTTATGTGTAGTATACAGAATTATCGTTTAATTATTGACAATAATCATGAAGAAATTGTAAGAATAGGACTGCCTCTAATTTTTCCATAACTTTTTAACAGATTCTGATTATTCAGATTCAGCCAACAATGTTCGCGATAAAAATTAATAAACTCCGTTTAAATTGGTCTTGATCCTATTGGCTTTACATGCCAATGCCATTTTACCGCCAACAACCAATCACCAACTAGAACCCTAGACAATGTCAATCCAGAGGACAGGACAAAGCTCACAAAATGTATCTAATTTTGTACTTAAGCCTGGTAGTTTGAATGGATATACGATATATTTTTATAAAAATAAAAATTGTTTTAATATGGAAGTAGCTTATTAACATTTTACGAAAGAGATAAAAAGCTAAAATCAGTAGCAATTATTTTTATTCTTTATAGGTTATAGTTAAGGAAATTAATTTCACTCACCTTTATAAAGCTGATAGGTATAGTTTGTTTTGACTTGCTATAGTGCCTTGCTACCTTATATACTGTTTCAGGGATGTATTCCAACACCAAATTCAGGTACACCTCATCCTTCTGCAAAAATAAAAGGACATAAAACACTACCAAATGAATTTTGACCCGTCACAGAAATTTTAGTTTGGTACAAAACAACAGTAATATATGGCTGTACTTCCAGATGATTTTTCAACTTTGATGACATACAGGTTAAAAAAGGATCAGATTATGAATTTATTAGAGATACTGCAATCGAAATATATCTAAGGTATGTAAGAACCATATTCGGTTAAAAAACTACATAGATGAAAAGCTAAAAAAAAATGTTTATGGTACTGTCTTTTTCTAATCGTACAAAAATTATTTAGTATATAGTAGCAGGTGCAGCAATCTAATAAATACTTTTCCCATATTTCTGAAGGTGTAAAAAAATTTGAAAGTTGAGATGTATGAAAGGAACGGAGTTTTCAAATGAGGTCGACATTTTCTTATTATTGGAGACACAGAGTCGGTTAAATTACCCAAAGCAATAGTATTCCAAAAAGGCAAGTGCACAATCTACACCATCTTTGGGATGCTGAAGGGCACTACGATAACAGCAGTTACCAACAGCAACATGTTAACAAAATTACATGAGGCAATGGACCAAGAACTTTCTGGTTTACCCCACAAAAAATATTATTCAAGATAACATACAACTCGTTATATCATTTAAATTTGATGAAACATTTTAACCAAGACAGGCAGTCCTCGAGTTACGTCGTTGTGTCGAACAATATTTTAACACCAGTCCTCAATCTAACGTCAATGGTTTCGAGATACATCATGGGCTATTTCACTTGTGCGGTCATCGGTGTTGCAAGCCTTTGGATATTTACAGAATGACATAAATATTTTTAAAGAACATGATCCAAATGTCGAAAGAAAATGTCAATAACAAAATTATTATGTTATGGTTCTTCCTATTTTTTCAATTATTGTGCAATAAGTATGTACCAAATACATGGTTTGTTTTATAAATAAAGTATGATTATTTAATATTAATATAGTTTTTTTTACATTATATGTTCTAATAAAACCTAACTTGATTAATTACACAAAGAATTATCAAAAATTTGATGATTAATAACACATTAATAGTGATTTCCTGGTAAACGGTTACATTTATGGGCTTGAACAAAGAGTACATAATTTTTTCTGATATTGTTTATCTTTTCAATAATGTTTAAACTGTGATGTCTAGCAAGAGAAAAAAGTTATGAACAAAACAAATTTTGAGTTCTAGGTAAAGTGCCCTCTAGCGGCGCATAATGAAACTTTTCTCTGATGGTCCAATAGAGCTTCATCTGCTTAGTGGGTGTGCCAAATGAGAGACTAATCAAACTTGAATTCAATAAGTTATTTAAATAGAAATATAAACTTACAATCGACAATTCGAAAAAAAATTTCATTACATACTGCTATTATTTTAATCCGTAGAATCACCTCCTGCAATTTCCTGACGGACTTTCAGAACACTCTGTATCTGTATACAGGCTGTTACAAATTCGCTTCTCACTACAGGGATCTCGAAAACGATAAACTAGCTTAAATGGGGGTAAAGTTGCGTAATCAGGGACCCAACATTATGCCTCTAAAAAATCAAGGCTAACATGATTAGTTTTCGAAATATTTGAAAAAAAAACGAAATTTTGGAAATCCATTTTTGTTTCATTTCAGCTGTGATATTGAAAAAAGAACACTTTCTCATGGCTACTTTTTGCCCTCTATCGAATGGCATAATAAATTTTTATATGTAACATTTCGTCTCCAGGACCAGCACCAACTTCGTTTTTTTTTAAAATGGCCCTAGAAATTTTATTACATTTTTTGCAAGCCTTCATGACCCCCGATACTGTACTGCCTCAGCCCGAACCAGGTTCAGATGTTTTGTCTCGAAAAAATCATCTTCAGTGTATTCTTTCCAAATTTATATAAATTTTTTATTTAGATTTCTTTTTTTATTGAACTATCGTACACTGTAAGTGTCGTTAGACCCTGTGAAATCCATCTAGTTCAGTATTCGGGATCATGAAGGCTTGCAAAAAATGTAATAAAATTTCTAGGGACGTATTTAAAAAAATTAAGTTGATGATGGTCCTGGAGAGACGAAACGTTACATATAAAAACTGATTATGCCATTCGATAGAGGGCAAATGAGAAAGAGTTCTTTTTTCAATATCACCTCAAACAAGGCTGAAATGAAACAAAAACGGATTTCCAAAATTTCGGTTTTTTTCAAATATTTCAAAAACTAATCTTGATTTTTAGAGGCATAATGTTGGTCCCTGATTACGCAACTTTGCCCCCATTTAAGCTACTTCGTACCTCTTACTGTTCCAAGATCCCTGTAGTGAAAAGCGAATTTGTAACAGCCTGTATAAATGAAGGGAAAAACCATATCGTCTTACATCGTTTCGATTTACGTCATTTACTTTGAAAACTGAACATGCCGTAAGTACGAGAAATGCCTGTATAACACAGTACAGAGAGTATTGTTTCATTAAAAAATGGCATTTAGTAAATATCTTGTAAATTGATTTTTCAGTTGTTTTTCATTTAATTGGCAGATAAATTACTACAACTTTGTTAAGTTTAACCACTTTGTATCTCCAATAATAAAAAGTCCCTTAGTAACGACTTAATTTGAAACAATCCTTATATTTTTTAAACGGAGAAAATATTATATTTATTCAGGTACATGTAATTTTTACTAAGATCTTATTATATGATTTATTAATTTTGATTCCTCAATTTGGAAAGTGTTTTTTAATACATTTTTAAATTTCTATTATTTAAATACGAACTAAAAAGTTGCAATCAAATACATTTTTAATTGCTCTTTCTATACAAAAATTCGTTTATTAACACAAAATGATAATTTCGTAATACTGAACAATACATTTTTTAATTTTGGAATCAGAAGTAGATGATTTAACTTATTTTGGAGTAAAATTGGAGGAATGTTTGTTAGAAAATGTTTATTTCGGCAATTTTACTTCAACATAACCAAAATGCAGTCTCACCATGGCAAGATAAACACTGGGGAAAGAAAATGAATTAACCCTCGATAGTCGACAGGAAAAATGAAATCATGGGTGAAGTTAAAACCACACTATAGCCGGGAGGGGTGAATAGCTATTGTACGTAAATTATAAAGCAGGTTCGTACCTGCAAGCTTGTACTTGTAGCCATGAATATGGACATATCGCAGGGAACCTCTGCCTGCTACACACAGAAACTCAAAATAATATATCTTACATACAGTTTTTATTGAAATCTGTCATACTCAATGTATTTTTTATTTCCACAGTGAGTTATCATTTAAAATGCATATATTTCCAATTTTTTCCTCCTATGTTCAAGTATTGGAGAAAATACTACTCCATAAGTACACAGTTTATGCCTTAAAATATTTTATAAGGCTTTAACTTAACTCGTTGAGAAATGAGGAAAATTAACTGAATATTTTTTGATATGTACATTCTTAGATTTTATTTTCATAGGTCTATATTTTATCTGTAATCTGTGGGCTATATTATTACGGCTCCAAATCCTGTAGTACGTCTATGTAATTGTCTGTATGTTCGATAACGTTTATCTATCTATATCTCTAATAATAATCAAGATATGGCCAAAAATATGTGCCCCAAGAAGAATGTGTTAGAAAGAGTGTAGTTATTATTACAACTAAGTCTTTGTCCAGCGCATACGTGTACGGGAAACTCTTTTGGGAACGTCTCCCTTACTATTAGGGATAGAGATAGTCAGTCCAAAAAATGTCCACCAAAATATTGAATTCCAAAGTAAGTATAATATTGAACTATTAAACTTAGGTGACAAACTGATAACTCACTGGACTAGAATTAATATATGTATTAACATAAATTATATAACAAATTTTTCACATATCCTTAAAAAAAAAACAAAAACGTCAAAGTCATCCGAGAACAAAACAAAATTCGCGCACATACAGATACCATATAATTTTTAAAATAATGTAGCATCCTTCTGTTAATAGCTTCTGTAAATATTTTTTATTGAGAATACTTTTAAAACGTGGGAGAAACACTATTTGTATGTTTTAGATATGGAGCTTAAAAAATATACTTACCTTATCTCCACTGGAGTAAAAGAAATATTTAAGTTTTACTATATTACAATGTTCTAACTTCCTCATGATTTGAAGTTCTCGATTCTGGAAAAGAAAAAATTGTTTAAGAGACGAGGAATTATGCATTGGTATAAGGAAAACAGGAAAACTACTCACTATTATTAATGAACGGAATAAAAAGATCTTAACGATAAAAAAATTGTTGAATTATCATCTATGAAAACGTACCAAATTGTCAGTGTTTATTAAAGTGGTGAAAAACTCATTAACTTTTTGAAAAGTATAAAATTTATTTAAAAAATGATTAGAAACTGAATCATTTTGAAAATATGCCAAGGTAAATTAGTTTGTATTTTTATTTTCACTAAATAAATACAATCACTACATATATTGAATTTGCAAATTCGAGGCAGAGTTGACAAAATGGATAAAATAACTTTCGTTTGTGGTATATATTAAAATTTTTTACTTAAATTTTTCCAAAAGAATACAATGAAAATACTATACTATAAGACTAGAATTGTTTATAAAAATACAAGAGAATATTGAACAGAAGGAAAGTTAATAAAATTAAATCTAAAATATGTTATTTTAACAATTTTGTAATATACTTTTGAGTAGAAAATGTGCAACCATATTTCCATATAACCAAATCTGCATTTGATAATGTTCCAGAAAAATTAATTGCAGGCATGGAATTTTGCGCAACTGGCAAACGATTGCATTTTCAAGGTATAGAGATATTTCTGTGAAGGACGCAGATTTGATAGCAGCAGTTCAAGGAATGTGATTTATTATGGTAACATAAAACATATCAAAACAAAATAAAAGGATACTACAAGATTATAATTAATTTCTAAGATAAGATACATGTTTATTTTTGAAGTTGTAACATAAGTATACAGTATAATCATTTTGATTATACCATACAAATTATAATGGTCAGTAAATCCTTATATTTACAGGATGTTTTTTAAATATGTCACAATTTCAGAGGTACGTTCCTTGGATCATTTTATGCTAAAATGTTTTAATAAACCACCGTATTCCGAGACTGGAAAACACATTTTTCAAATAGGGCTGAAGATTACTATTTTTTTAAAGCTAATTCAAGTAAATAAATTTTTCTTTTCTAAAAAATCTTATCAAATGCAATCAAACAAACTGTTATTCGATGCCAAAAATGTAGGTACGCAAAAGATATCTATCCCCACAGACTTTGAATTACATCACAGCAATACCTAGTAATAAATAACTATCAAAAATAAACACTAAAAATGATAAGACTACATACAATTAACACAAAAAGCATCCGAGCTACACTGAAATTGTTAAACAAAGAAATATCTTGAATTCTTGCTGTTGTATCATCACTCTTGATAAAAAAATTCGATTATTAAAAAGTTTTACCACATTATGCATCTGTATTAGTGACATTAATATGGAATTATTTTCTAGCAATACATACTAAACTGAATGAAGCATTTCTGGTATGAATGAAGCTGCCATCTATTTATTACAAAAATTCATTTATATTGGCTTCGCTGTTTCAAAGGTGATTTAACAAAGACATTGCAAAGTATTAATAAATTTGAACTAGAGCCAATATAGTAACGAATCATTCATTAAAAAAAAAACATTTACATCTATTTTTTTCATCATGTAGGTATTTATATTTATGACATTTCGGTATACAGTTAATGAAAAGATGTAAGACGATTCTTTCTAAACGCAAATTAATTCCGCCCCATTTCTTATGAAGGCCTTTAAAGTGAAACAATTTGTAAGTTTTGAATGCTTTTATTTGGTCATCAGATCGTAATAATGTGCATATTTTGATCCTTTTATGTTCAATTAGTCATTAGGTTGAAAAACCTTGTATAATATCAGAAAATAGCCTCACTCACCTTAAACCTCTTATCCTGAAGGACTTTTTTGATTGCTACCAATTCAGAAGTCTCGCATAATTTGGCCTGGTAGACGACACCGAAGCTACCATTACCGATGACTTTGGTGTCAGTGTAGGAAACCTCTTGCGGTCTGTCCGGACCCTGTCCAGGTGTAGCTACTACCGTGGTCACTTTGCTCCCGTCCTTGCCTATGTAGCCACCAGCAAAAGAAAAAAACAGACATTAACATATTAACCTGCACATATGAATGGTATTAACTAAACTTGCGAATTAATTGGGTTGTTTCAGAGAAAGAGACTCGAAAATTGATACAGTACTTGTTCAAAGTAACTATTACCGTACAGTTTTTATAAAAAATACTCTAAATTCGATCATACTGTAGGAGTAAATCTTTCAAACTTCTTCATCCGCAGTGGGATCTAAGGTAATGTGTCATAACAATCCTTTGGAGGAAAAATCTCTTGTAACCTTGAATGTGTCCGTTATTTATGTCATGGCTTAACAAATTCCCTTCTATGGTAGTAGAAAATAACTTTTATACCCGAAAGATTTGGGAAAAAAAATATGAGAACTGATTACTATATAATAATAAATGTCTGTCATAGATTAACCAGTAATTTATAAATAAGAAGTGAACAAACTCTTGGGCAAGAGCTAGAAAAAATTATTTTAGTAGAAAAAATGAAGTTCTGTTCCATATTAACTGCATGTGGGGTGGGGATGTATTATTTGAGTCTAAACATATTATATTATATTATTAGTGACAACATTTTCTGATAAGCCGACTAATGTTTATTCATTATTACCTTATGTTGCTATGTTAACTAATTACAGAGTTATGTCATGTATTTTGATAAAAATCTGGCTACTAGTGTTAACATGTAAAATCAGAATATAGTGCCATTACTTTCGTGGAAAAAAAAGACAGGATTTTGAAAACATTCCACATAAAGCACAGATAAAACAATCATTAGCAACATCCACAAAAAAGCAAAAATCTAAAGCCATAAAGTATGTTAGTAAGTAGAAAACCGACCGTAGTTTTTTATTTGCGTTTTTCTCAAAAAAATTATCACATTATTTGGGATTTTACAATTTTTATTTCTGTTTATGTAGATGTAAAGGACCCCACACAAAATGAATGGAAATTGGGTCTCGCTAGATTTGGCTGGAATTGTGATATGTTGTAGTTCTCGACATTCTGATGAATTTAGCGGAACCCAATTTCCATTCATTTTGTGCGGGGTCCTTTAGAAAAAATATTTAATTGAAGTGACTACAAAATATTAAAATATAAATATTATAATAATAAAATAATAACTATACAGGTTATGTTAAATATCGATCAAGAATATATGGGTATGAGCAATTTTCCTATTTTTGTTAAACAAAAAGTAAAGCCAAGATTCTCCTTCTCGTTTGACCTTGTTGTGACTTATTAAATATCAACTAATATTAGTTTATGGATAGGCATATGTTACGAATAGGAATAGTAAGTAAAATTAATTTATGTTTTAAAATAATTATTTTTGTAAATGTACATAAGAAAAAATATATAAATCATCACAAATTTTTAAAATCAGTGTTATTTATTTTAAAGCATTCTTGTTTAGTATGCGAACACTGACTTAGGTAAGGTAAGCGGTCACTTTACAAATTCCAACGAAGTAAACAATTACAGGCGTGTTAATAAAAGTAGGAAGAGACGCGTTTAGAACTGTTAAAACAGGTATAGTCTTTCCGATATCAATTGAAGAACCAAGGGAATGACAGTATGCACCAAGTTCGGTCGCGGACTTGTTCACATTTTTATTTAGCCATACCCATATATAGGTCTGTTCGAACTAAACGTGGAGATGGTAGAAATATATACGCCCAGTTGAAGAATGCGAGCGCGAGCAAACAAAATACAATACAGTTGCATTGGGCCACTGGGCAATAAATCTCAGCCGTTGACAAGTGGTCGACAAATTGCCCAGCAATGCAGTGCAGTAATGCAGATTTTGGTGTGATTCAGGTACTTTTTTAACTTTTTTAGGGACGTATATGAAACTCATTAAATTTTATTGCCAGGCGTTTTTTTACATGTTCAACTGACTTCGGAAAGACTAAACTGTTATAAAATTCTTAACAAATGGTATAAGTATAAAGATAATTTTTGACAGTAATAATATTTATTAAACCAACTTAATTACACTCAATGTGCTATTCTAAGACACGTCGATGTTGTAAATCTAGAGATTAAGTGCCGCAGTGTATATTGCATTTAGAGCGATGTTAATTTCTACCAATAATACTATGTCATATTTCTACATTTAATGTGTAGTTCTTACTCTACACACTAAAGTGTCGATGTGTATCTGCAGCCTTACGCATACTTAAAACAATGCCACAGTTCGTTGAATTTTGTTTACAAGGAAATAGGTTTTTTCCTTAGTTTTCGTAATTGATGTCAAATCATTAAACCACAATTAGCTTCGTATGTTTTCTAGAAACAAAGAAACGGTTTCCTCTAAAATTCCAAGCACTATTTACGACGATGTGCTATATTTTTGTTGAAAACTTTATTATTCCATTAAAATACCTGAAAAAATTGCATGCGTCACCAATGTACCGAATTAACTGCTATAATTTTTTTATCGATAAATTATTTTAAGCTACAATTATTATTATTTTTAATTAATATTCGACTTTCTACCTAATTTCTTCATACATGTAAGTTGAAACAATTAAAAGTCGGTATGCCTTTGTAGCAGTATTAACGGTTAATTTTAGGAACAAGGTATTTATTGCTTGCTCCCATATGGAATAATCTGTTCCACCTAATCAGAATCCAAATCAATCCCGCTGAATTATTCCCTGGATCGATAAACCTGATCGCCATGCTCCCGCATTAAAAAAAAAGAACGATAAAAGCGGTAGGGGTTTACTATAACGATACGTAGCACGAACATTTTCCTCGAAATTGTCGCATTAAACTACTACATATTAAAAACACCTTTGAATCCATGAAAAAATTAAGCAATTAAACGTTTACTTTAATGAAACTTGACCCCCTGCAACTCTGTATAGAATAAGTTTTAAAAAAAATTATGAAACTTCGATTTTTATTTTAGTTTGCATCAAATGTGACCCTCTACAGTAATCGTCAAATAATAGGCAACCCCATGGTGCACATTGTCATGAAGAATTTCCCAATATTTTTACTAGATCGATTTTCGACATTATTTACCTTGGACATAAGTGATACCTTAAGTATCGCGATATTCTAGCAATATTAGAAATATTTAAGAAGTTTCAAGCCTCAAGTGACAAACTAAAAGAATTATATAATTTATATATTTAAATTTATAGAACAACAACAAAGACTCATGCCTGTCTTTCTGTAAAGCGATGTTCTTTCGTGTAATTGAATTACCCAAGAGACTTCTTACAAGCCTTTTTATACTTTTTTTTTTTCGAGACCACCCGGTAATCCTAATAAGTACACGTGATCAAAATAATATCTCTACATGTCTGTTGCAGCTCTAGGCAAAAGTCGGTTCCAATTAAAGTGAATGCCAGTTGTTCGTGGCATTAGTTTTATATGGAAACATAATAATCACGTATGTCTGACTGGTTTCCAACTTTTCGCCACTAGCGAAAAACAGCAGGAACGTCTACACCTATTGAGAAAGTTGTTCATCACCAAATGTACACACACATACATTTAGTAATGCAGCTTCAGGTCATTTTATGGAACACAATTATTATATTTCTAAGTTTTAAGTTTTTATATAGAAAAAGATGGAAGACGTTGGCAAATCTTTTTCACTAGAAAAATATTTAATAATTTGTCGTTTTGGACAGGATATTGTACACACTCATTCAAGTAACATTCTACACCTCTTATCTTTGTATTAAAAGATTTGTTTTGTAAATTTAACAGCGGAAAAGCATAATTATGCACTGATGGAACCAGAGAAATGTTGCTTTATCCATTTTGGGGGGCCAGTAATAAATAAAAATATGGTGCAAACTGTTTAAAATAATATATAACAGGTATACATATATCCTTTTAATCATTCCATCCAGGACATTCCATGTAAAAAACAAAAGTTTGGTTTATATCTTCCAAATGCGACAGTTCATTGTTTTAAAATTTTTTTTGAAATAAGACGTTTTGCTAGAACTTTGCTCTTTACCATTTCTCCTAGGTAGAAAGATGAAAAAGGCAAAAGCGATAGAATGTTATGTGAATAACTCTGTAACATTCACTATAGCCCTGCAGAACAACACTACAAAAAAGGATAAAATATATAGGAATGCCAAATATCGCGTGTTATACAACTCATGTTAACAATCTGGGTATTGCGGGAAACAAATCAATATGTAAATACGAATATTTTTTTCGTAAATCACTACACATAAAATACGATTGTAGAAAAACGTTTTAACTGTTAACAAGAACATGAAAAATCGTATATTATTACGAAACTTGTATCACAGTATCAACTATTTTCAATGTAGTCGTTACAGAAAAATATTTCGTAGGAAATCGGATCATGTCCTTTTCTTAAAAATGATATAATTAATTTAAAGGAACATTGACAATATTAAATTAAACATTGAGTATGAAATATTCTTCATGGAATTATTAATGATTCAAAACATTTTATGAACGTTAAGTCAAAGCTTTAATAAATATAAACTGCATAAATGTAAAACCAAGAATAACTGCGGAAGCGGATGTTATTAGAACATTTTGAATGTTATTATACCTTGAAAATTTAACTGGAACAACTTTTTATATGTAAAATTACATAAACTATCACAAAGTACTTCTTTACTTTTTACATAAAATGTTGACGAAGCGCTGGAACTATCGAAATGTTTTTAGATAACTGCAATGTACAACGAAATCGTGATTGCTTTGGTGAACGTCATTTGGCTTATTTGTAAATAAAAACTATTTTTTGGCACTCAAAAAAAAATAATGAGAAAATGAAGGAAATGGCGACATTTTTCAAATAAATTCGGAGTACCTTAAAGTAAAAGTTAATAAAACCCGTACAGTGAAGGGAGAAGGGACACAATACTTAATACTCAATTAATTTAATTCCGACTATTTTCGCGTCTGTTTCGGATTACACCATCGCATCCATGGTTCATGATCAAAAAGTGTGTTTAAATGTCGTTTTGATCTAGTTCATTCCCTATT